GACCTGACCCTTCAGAAATATAGGGAGAGAGCCGATACAGGGACTGGGGGATCAGACCAAGAGACGTTCGCATGGGAACAGGGCAGACTATACAGACATACCAAAAAGAAAGGGAACCATAGGAGGCAGCTAGTCATTCCCCACAAGTATAGACGAGATATACTCCGAGTCGGTCATGACATCCCATTAGCTGGACATTTAGCAGTGACCCGTACCCTCAAACGGATCACCCATACCCTCTTCTGGCCAGGAGTGCATGCAGATGTGCGTACATACTGCAACACATGTGAGGTCTGCCAAAGGGTAGGCAAGAGAGGAGACCACCCTAAGGCACACCTCGTGAACATGCCCATTATAGAGGAACCTTTTAGCCGGGTAGCTATCGACCTAGTAGGGCCCCTCACCACCCCTAGTCGATCCGGAAAGAGATACATTCTTACCATGGTGGACTACGCTACCGGCTATGCCAAGGCAGGAGCTCTATCCAATATTCAGGCGGACACCGTAGCCAATGCCTTGGTGCAAGTCTTCTCTCGGGTAGGATTCCCTAGGGAGATCCTATCCGACAGGGGTACTCAGTTGACTGCTGAACTAACCCAACAACTGTGGCATGTCTGTAAAATAAAATCCCTACTCAGCTTCCCGTATCATCCTCAGACTAATGGGCTATGTGAGAGGTTCAACGGGACCCTAAAACAGCTGTTAAAAACGTTCACCCAGGAATATAGGGACTGGGAACATTTCCTACCGCACCTCCTGTTCGCATACCGGGAGGTGCCACAGGAAACAACCGGATTCTTTCTGTTCGAACTGCTCTACGGGCGTAAGGTGCGGGGCCCCCTAATCCTGATCCGTGAGCACTGGGAGGGAGAGACAGAGAATGCTGGAGTTCCCATTGTGCCCTATGTACTGGAGCTTAGGGACCGCATGGAGCAACTAGCCAGGTCGGTCCAGGCTAACATCCAGGTGGCCCAAAAGCGACAGTCTGGTATGACAGAAGGGCGAGACAAAGGAGTTTTTGTGTAGGGCAGAAAGTGATGGTGCTTTAACCTGTCAAGGCAGACAATCTGCAAGCAGCCTAGCAAGGACCGTACCAGGTAGTAGAGAAAAGGGGGGACACTACCTATGTGATTGCCAGCTGTCACGACGAGAACTTAAGGAAGATATTCCATGTAAATATGTTAAAGGAATATCTTCAATGACCCGAAGATATAGCAGCCATATGTAGCCCGGCCAGCGAAGACCCAGATAGTCTTCCCATACCCGACTTGTTTACCCAGAAAGATCCGTCAGATATAGTGGGCCAAGTGCAGATAGGGGACCGACTGAACCCAGTAGAGAGGGAGCAGTTACACCAACTGCTCCACGAGAAACAGGCCATATTCTCCCAGAAACCAGGGTACACCAACTTAGCCACAAACCAAGTGGACACCCCAGGACAGCAACCTTTAAGACAGGCCCCCTACCGGATTCCTGAGGCGGTCCGAGCAGGGATGAAAAAGGAGATAACAGAGATGCTCCAGCTAGGGGTCATTGAGTCCTCCGATAGTCTCTGGGCGTCCCTGGTAGTACTACCCGCTTCTGTGTGGACTATCGGAAGCTTAATGATAAGACCGTGACCGATGCATATCCCATGCCCAGGGTGGATGAATTACTGGATCGCAGAGCCAGGGGAAACTATCGAACCACCATAGACCTCTGCAAAGGTTATTGGCAAATTCCCCTGGCCAGGGAAGCTATCCCCAAGTCGGCATTCGTCACCCCCTTTGGCTTATACCACTTTAAGTTATGCCATTCGGGATGAAGAATGCCCCTTCTCCATTCCAACGCTTGGTGGATAGACTCCTTGATGACTTCCAGGATTTTGCCTGTGCATACCTGGATGACATAGCAATCCATAGTGAGTCCTGGGAGGAACACTTAGCCCAGGTGGGAATGGTGCTGGATCAGATTCGGGCTGCAGGCCTGACTCTGAAGCCAGAGAAATGCCATTTTGGAATGGCTGAGGTACAGTATTTGGGTCACCGAGTGGGATGTGGGAAGCAGCGACTAGAGCCAGCTAATATAGAGGCGATCGCAAACTGACCCACCCCCACCACTAAGACCCAAGTGCTAGCCTTTCTGGGCACAGCTGGGTACTATAGAAAGTTCGTGCCAGACTATAGCGCTATAGCCAAGCCCCTGACGGACATAACCAAGAAGAATCTTCCTCGACAGGTCCTGTGGTCTTCCCACTGTGAAGCCGCATTTCAAACACTAAAAACTGCTTTAAGTAATGCTCCTGTCTCAGACGAAAACTCCTGCCACGAGAGGTCAGCTATGCCGCATTGGAAAAGGAGTGTTTGGCCCTGGTGTGGGCACTAGAGAAGTTAACCCCCTATTTGTATGGACAAGAGTTGACTCTGGTGACAGACCATACCCCGTTGGTGTGGCTCAACCGGGTCGCTGTGGATAATGCCCAACTATTACGCTGGAGCTTATCACTATAACCGTTTAATTTTACTATCACCTACCAACCCGGGAAGCAAAATGGCAATGCCGACGGGTTATCACAGCAAACTGACCTCAGTCCAGCATAATTCTTCAGTCTGGACAGCCTTCGTCTGCCCCAAAAAGGGGTCAGACGGTGTCTGCCAGAGTGTTCCACAAAGAGGGAGCATTGTTACAAAGACTCCGTTACACAGACTTGTTATATTGTTACTCCCTGTTTTTGCTTAATAAGACTATTTAACGGCATTCAGACCAGGCGAACAGAGCAGACAAACTATTATAAAGCCTCATTCGTCAGTGTGAACGGCCGACCACCCAGCCCCTGGCGTGTGCCGCCACTTAACCCCGTCACCCCGCAAAGTACCGAATAGCCGGCCACCCTGCAAGCTGATTGTGCCGCTTGTCAACCTGTCCTCATTGCGGTCTGCGGTTAACCGCAGGTTAAGTGCCTCTCCCAGGCTGGCTCCATTCGTACCGCGAACGGACGGGACAACCAGACGGGGAGCGGGGATTCGCATGATTCTGTACCCGGTCTTCGCTCCATGAGTACAGCATCGAGGTGCCGATGGCCATTGACGGACCCTAAAACATGGACGCCATCGAGGGCTTGGAAATCAACTACCGAACATCCAACGCAGAGCTACTGAACGATATGTAGAAAGGACTATATTCACTGGATAATGCCTGAATTATATATTTGTATGCTGTTTTCTGGGACATAATAAAGCATGGTCATTTTGGGCGCTTGGAGATAATTAGATTGTATAACCGTTGGCTTCATTATCTCCAAGCTGGGCGGGTACTAGTTTGAATGATACACTGTATGGTGATTGGTTGAATACTTGTACGGTACCTGTATCCCATCAGGTCCAGAGGGGGCTGTCCCTGGACCTGGGGACTTGCATAAATTGCCATGCTTGTGTGCCAGTAAAGCCAGTTCATTTTGACCCTCAACTCGTAGCCTCGACTCGTGTTGTAGGGATCCGGGAATATTAGCACTCTTACAGCTAGTGGGATATTCTACACTTGCAGATTCTACCGAATGGAACCACGTTCAACTCTCTGACTTCGGGAACCAGAACATCCAAGCGATCAACCCTCCTGCTAGACCGGGGGCAATCGGAACAACCTGTCAATTGCTAGCAAAGGGGACCTCCCCGGCGGTGGTTGACAGGTCCATGGCAGCGATGGCTTTCTGGTTTAAGCTGAATGGGAAGGAAGACGTTACTAAGACCTTCGTCATTAGGCAGGCGCTTAAGGGTTATCGGAGGGGGCGCAGGCTTCCAGACACTAGGTGCCCGGTGTCGGTGCGGGTGTTGGGGGACCTGATTAGTGGGCTGCCCGACATTTGCTTCGACGGGTTTGAGGTGTCCCTGTTCCGGGCGGCGTTTCTGCTGGCTTTCTTTGGGGCTTTCCAGGTTGGTGAGTGCCAATCGGGTGGCGGCTAGGGGCCTACAGGTCTGGGAGTTCGGCTGCGGGGGGGGGGAATTAGTGGTTCACCTGGCCAAATCCAAGACGGATGTACGGGGGGTGGGCTGTGATGTGACACTCCGGGCCCTGCCGGGCTCCGCCCTGTGCCCTCAGTGGGGGAGTATTTGGCCCGGAGGCCGATGATTGGCGGATCCCTACTGGTGCACGCGGATGGGTCTTTCCTTTCCCGATTCCAATTCACTAAGGTTTTTCGGTTGGGCCTGGGGAAAATGGGGTTATGGGCGGATAGCTTTGGCACACATTCTTTTTGCATTGGGGCGGCCACAGAAGCCGCACGGTTGGGTTTGGGGGACGACATAGTTAAACGGATTGGGAGATGGGAGTCGGTCATAGGCGTGCGCAGCCTATTGCATTAGGGTGTGCACCCTAAAGCACAAACACACGCCGTGTGTGTGTGTGTGTGTGTGTGTGTGTGTGTATATATATATATATACACATACTCACGCGCTGTTAGTGTGATGTGAGATATATATATATATACACATATATATATACACATACTCACGCGCTGTTAGTGTGATGTGAGAGTGTTTGTGACTGTGGTGTTTGTGTGTGTATGTTTGTCCTGTGAGGGTGCAGTTTGTGTGAGTGTCGTGTATTTGTGAGGGTGCTGTTTGTGTGTGAGGGTGTTGTGTTTTTTTTTTTTTTTAAAGGTGCTGTGTGTGGTTGTGAGGGTGCGGTTAGTGTACTGTGTGTATGTGTGTAGGTGCTGTGTGTGTGTGTGTGCTGTATGTTTGGAGGGATTTGGCAGATTAGTAAATCCTTGCTGCCATGTGCCATCCCTGGTGGTCCAGTGGAGAGTGAACTCTAGCCTGCGGGGCTAGAGTTAACTCTCGCGAGATCTGAGCGTTGCCGCAGCAACACTCATATTGCGAGAGGAACCTGGCAGAGCTTCTGTCTAGAGCTCCCTGGGTCCTCTCCTGCATCCCTCCATGCTGCTGTCGGCCGGTGAGGTAGATCTTTGGTCTCCCCGCCGGCTCATGGAGGCTTAGAGCAGAGCTGGCACTCAGCGCCGGCTGTGTGTGTGTGTGTGTGTGTGTGTGTGTGTGTGTGTATATATGTGTACACATACATACATTCTCACACACACACTCACTGACACACATACATACACTCACACAGACACTCACACAGACACACACACTCACACAGACACACTCACTCACAGACACACACACTCACACATAAGAACAAATTATTACATTTTAATAAAAAAAAAAAGTCCACCCAGTCTCCTATCTGGAGTGCTGGTGTGGACTTTTCCCTGGGGTCCAGTGGGGCGGGCGCTCTCGGCAGCTCAGCCGCGGCGAGGGAGCTCTCTGCTGTCTGCTCTCTGCCCCCTCTCGCCGCGCGGGCTGTCTGCTGTAGCTGGGAGCCGGAATATTACGTCATATTCCGGCTCCTGGCATCAGCGCGCGGCGAGAGGGAGCAGCGCAGACAGCAGAGTTCCCTCGCCGTGGCTGAGCTGCAGGGGGGGGGAGCCATCACCTCTTGCCCCCCCATGACAGGGGCAAGAAGTGAAACAGGGGGCGCTGAGTGCCTGCAGGAACAGCGTTCCTGCTCAAAAAAAGTGCAGGAACGCTGTTCCTGCAGGACTCAAACCATAGGCGTGCCACAGGGATTAGGGTGTGCCCCGGCACACCCCGTGCGCACGCCTATGGAGTCGGTCCTACGTGCGGCTGGGATTATTAGAGTGATAAGGCGGGCCTTTTTTCGGGGGATCCCGAGGGGCAATTGCGGGGTGTTGTTGCAATTGTTTCTTCCCCAGGCTATGTCGCATGGATCGTGGGCCATTCCTTTGTTTTCTGGGCCGAGAGGAGGGCTGCAGCTCGAGCTCAGGGCCAGCAGCTGGGCTTTCCAAGGGACCAGTTGGCAGTGCAATGGTTTGGGTACAGGGGTTTTTGTTGGGGGAAGGTTTGCCGGGAATTGTTCCGGATGGTGGCAAGCGGGCGGAGGCTGGACCTGCTGGTGCTCCATGCGGGAAGCAATGACTTAGGCCTAACGCCGCAGCGGCAGCTGGTGAAGTGGATGAAGCAGGACCTCAACAACTTGAGGGACCTGCTTCCGGGGGTGATGTTAGTATGGTCAGAGATTATCCCGAGGAGGCGGTGGCGGCATGCAAGGGACCCAGTGGCAATCGACAAGTGCAGGAGGAAAGTGAATAGCTTGATGGCAAGCTTCGTGAGGAAATTGGGGGGTGGTAGTGCGGCACAGCGAGTTGGAGGGCGGGTTGCAGGGGTACTACCGCTCGGATGGCGTTCATCTTTCGGCAGTAGGATGGGACCTGCTGAACCTGGGTTGGCAAGACGGACTACTCAAAGCACTATTTCTTCGGTATGGCGGAGCTCAGACAGCTTAAGGGGTCAAGGTCTGAGCTTGTGGCGGGATAGGGAGCTGAAGGAGAAGGAATAGGCTCCCTAGGATGAACGTGACAGAAACGGAAAACTGTGGTCAGTGGTGGTTGGTAGGTTTCGAGTCCTGTCGGTGGCTCAGAACCTGGTGGGGTTGAGGTATCCGGGTATACCCCTGCCATGGTTAATTTGTTTGGTACTTTAAATTGGTATGTTGGTATATGTTATATATATGTGTTATATGAGGGTCATTGCCTTTTATATTAACAGAAGGATTCGGATGCGAGGGCGGAGTATGGGGGGCAATGACCCATGTTAATTTGTTAAGTTATTATTATGTTATAATGAATATATTGTTGTTATTATTTAAGATTGTTTAATAAAGCTGTGGACAAATTTTCCCATATACCCGAGTGTCAGTACGTTATTGGGTTAGGTATGTGGGGGGTTGTCCTGGAGTCCAACTGCCCATATGGTGACTATACACCGGTCATGATGTGTGTGACTGTCTTTGACTGTGTGTGTGACTGTCTGCCTGTGATTGTGGGTGTGTGACTGTCTGTCTGCCTCTGATTGTGTGTGACTGTCTGTTATTGTGTTGTGGGTATGTGTGACTGTCTGCCTGTGTGTGTGTGTGTTACTGTCTGTGAATGTGTGACTGTCTGCCTGTGTCATTGCCTGCGTGTTTGACTGTCTGCCTGTAACTGTGTGTGAGTGACTGTGTGTGGGACTGTGTGCATCTGACTGTGTTTGATGGTCTTCGCCCTGCAGCCAGGATATGAGCCGGCAGCCTGGATATGTCATTGCGGCCTCTGCGTCATTACAGCAGCAACCACTGACCACCAGGGACTGAGGATCCACTCCAGCCCTTCTAGAGCAAGTTAGGGAGGCTGGGTGGACCTCTTAATTATTAAATGTGTGTATGTATGCAATGTTTTTGTGTGTATGTGATTGTGTGTCTGTGATTGTATGTGTGTGGGTCAGTGATTGTGTTTGTGTATATCTGTGATTGTGTGTATCTCTGTGTATGTGTTAAGTAGATAGCTCCCTTATTTCCTGTCCTTAAATATTGCAATCCCACATAAAGATAACAAATAAGGGATTTATCTACTAAACAACTGAAAAAAAGAAATCCTTTTAATCCTTTAGCTGTTTAGTAGATCATTCCCTGAATTGGTGCCCGTATGTGAGATTTCCATATTTAAAGATACCAAATGAGGGTGCTTTTTAGCAGATAGCACCTTATTTGATGTCCTTAAATATGGCAATCCCACAAAGGATAGCAAATAGAGGAGTTATCTGCTAAACAAAGATTGAAATTAAGAGGTGTCAGCCAGCCCACAACAAGAAATCTGGATGGCTAATGTGAATTATATGCAAATGTGTAGTCAGATGCTGGCATCAGACAGCCAATGGCAGCATATTACCCGATCCCCTAGTGAGAAGTTTTACTGCTCCCTCTCCTCCTCCTGTTTTGACTATGGTATCTTATGTGGCCCCCATATATATTGTTCCTAGAGTCGCCACGATGTCTGCATGTGTGTCAATGTGTATCTGTGTGTGACTGTGTTTGTGTATATGTATCTGCATGTGTGTATGTCCGTGTATGTGTATATGTGCAGACATCTAAAAATCTTACCAACACTACACAAAAATACTCTCATGCATTTCAACGTCAACACTACATACAAACCCCACCATTATATATAACCATACCACTTCATTCAAATACCACACAACACCCAAATGCATGCTTACATTGAAATGCCAACACTACATAAAAACAAACCGCTACATTCACTCACATATACTCCATACAAAAACATGCGTACATTCAAACACACAAACACTGCTCAGTGCTAAATACATTTAAAAAAAAATAAATTGGTTGTTTTTATATTTAAAGTTGAGGGGGGGAGAAGGGAGGGTGCCAAAAATAGGACTCGCCCCGGGTGCCAAATGCTCTAGGTACGCCCTTGGGTCCAAACCATCCTGAGCTGACTAACCAGAGTGGACTCACTGCTCAAAAAAAAATAAAACCTGAAAGGATCCCCCCCCCCCTACAACGCAGGACCGACTGGATAAAAGAAGAAGGAGCATCTTACTCACCAGCCAATGCCCGACAAACAGACTGCGGCATAACAAGCGTAGAAGGTCCAGGCAGATTACTCTGATTTCCAGCTTCCACTGTGTTCCTCAAAGGTGCAGCCAGGTCCTGTGAGAAGAGCAACGGAGAGGAAGTGAGCCCACGCTCCACACCAGGAGGCAGCTGAGGTAAGTGACCAGCAGACAGAAGAGGGGACCCAGAGGGAGCAGAACAGAGGGCAGAGAGGACCTAGAAGGAATAGGAACAGAGGTAAGAGCAGGGGAGGAAAAGGAATGGGGGAGAGGGGAGGAGGGAGGACACAGAGGAGGAGAGGGGAGAACAGAGGGGGAAAGAAGGAACAGAGGGACCGGCAGAGACAGAAGGAAAACCAGAGGGACAGAGGGGGGCCCAGGGAAAGGAGGGGGAGGGGAGAAACTGAAGGGTGGAAGAGGAGGCCCCCCACCCATGAGAGGTCCCTCCCCATCCCCCAACGACAGTACCTTGGTACCCTGCGTGGCCCTGCAGGGCCTACTCACCGCCTGGACCCCAGACACAACACTGCCGTTGCACCTGACATGAGGCGTTCGGGAAGGCCTCTGGACAGCCACACACCCCGCGGGACACGCCGCCCACCTTCTACTGCCTCCGGCGCGATCCCCAATGCTGGAGGCCACAGACTGCGATGTGGCTGCAGGAGGGGAGGCCGCAAGTCCCACACAGGGGAAGTAGGCTGCAAATCCTACGCGGTAGTAGAAGGCCATGTGTCTGGAGCCTCAGACACGCGGGCCCGGCGATGCCTTGGTCCCGGGCTCCACCTCCTCAAACGGGCTCCAGGTGCAGCATCCGGGGAGAGCCCCAACGGCAGACAGGAATGAAGATGCCTGGCCGCGAGGAGGGACTACGCCGGCAGCCATACCCTGATTCAGGCAAGCATAGTGCTGGTGAAGGAGCCGGCCACCATCCATCACAGCAGTAGCTCTGAGGGAAGCCAGAATAGCCTCAACCTCCATCCCTCAAGCTGGTAAACCTACAGGCCCAGGACAAACAGGAGCAGGAGAACAGGAAGCTGTTTGCTGGCCCAAATCCCAAGTGGCACTGAGGTAAGATTACCCCCACCAAACTCACACTCCACATAATCCCACCCACACATTCCTACACAATCAATCACACACATCTATCCCCACACTAATACATGTGCCCTTATCCGCTTAGCTGCACCATCTCCCCAGGACCTTATGTTGTCATTTGGGAAATTCACAGACCACATGTGGCCCACTCGGGCTAACACCCCATATTTGCATTCTCCTACTGTTCTTGAGTACAGTGATAATCTACATGTATACATTTTATCTTAATAATTAATTAACCATTAACCAGAATAATTAACCATTAATTAATTCATGAATGCTCTTCTATGAGGTGCCAGAGCAGAGGGAGTCTCTGTGCTGGAGAAGATGTAAGTAAAAAACAGGGAAGAACCTAAACCTAATCTGCAACTAGGAAACAATACCTTTATTAATACAAGATGGTATTCTTAACGCTATAGTGTTCCTTTAAAGACACGTTACTGTGACTATTATTGCTATGGAGCTGGTATAAATTCAGATACACCATGAATACTGAGCTCCTATAAAATGGGGGCATCGGCATAAAAAAAAAA